AAATTCACACATTTAAGATATTAAGCTGATCCCTGCTGTGCAACAGCTTGAAGCGTGTATTCCAACACCGTCCTCAGAAAACTATTTCACGTGAGCCCAGGGCTGCTAAGAGTAAAAGGTGATTTTATTAAGTGTGATAAGACTTCCAAAGACCATGAAAAGAAATAACCCTTCCTCAAAGATCAATTGCTAACATATTTACATACAATACACAAAAGTACTGCCAAAGTAATTTAAGAAAACTTTTTTTTTCAAATTGCCCCCACAAATATCTACTGGACACATGCTACATCGCACTCACTATGCTTTATGACAGTGTTATTCTAGAAGGATTCCTGAGGTGGCCTCCACGGATCCTTCTCCTGGTGTTCACACCCTGTTGTGATTCCCCTCCCCTTGTGTGAAGGCAGAAGCTTGACTTGTTCCCCACAAACAGAATATGGCAAAGGTGATGGGATGTATGTAATTATGTGTATGTGATTGCATGGTTATGTACATAAGATTATAGTCCCGTCTCGCTGGGGTCTCTCTCCCTTGCTAGCTCCAAGGAAGCAGGCAGTCATGGTGGGATAATGAAGGCAAGGAAATGAAGGCGGCTTCTTGAGGCAAAGGGGGGCTCCCAGCCAACAGCCTGTTGGGGTCCCAGCCAGAACTCAGCAAGAAAAAGAATCCCTCGGTTCTACAACCACAAAGAATTGGATTCTGCCAACAGCCTGAGTGCACTTGGAAGCAGATCCTTCTCCCACTGACCCTCAGATGAGGCAGCTCTGGCTTCCCGCCCGGTTGCCTTGTGAGACCTCCCCTGAGCAGAAGACACTGTTTAGCGGAGCCTAGACCCCTTATTCACAAAAACTGGGAGATGACAAATGTGTGTTGCTTCAAGCCACTAACATTGTGGTAATATTGTTACAAAGTAGTAAATAACTAGGTCCTCAGTCTTTCTTTGTCTTTCTTGACCTTGAAGTCTTGGAAGCATACAGGCCAGTTATTTTGTACAAAGTGCCTCAAACTGCGTGTGTTTGTTTGGAAATCCCTCAATCCGATCCTCAGGATTAGATTTAGGTTCAGGAATAACATAGAAGTGATGTTGTGTCCTTCTCAGAATATCCTATTTAGAGGTTTATATGCTTGGTTTGTCCCAATATAAGTGATATTAAATTGATCACTTGGTTAGAAAGGTATCCATAAGTTCTCTCCATTGTAAAGATACTATTTCCCCATGATGACTAATAAAAAACTTATGAGGAGATACTCCATTCATCATCAAACTCTCACTGATTAGTTTTAGTAACCATTAATGATTCTCTTACTACATAATTCCTTTTGTATTCATTAGTTAGCATTCTACTGTAAGGAACATTCTCTTCTTTCCTATTTACTTACTTATCTAGTGATTGACTTATAGCAGAGTGAAATTACAGTTTCTTATTTTAGTCAGCTGTTAAAATTTGTTACTATTACTGTATCCCAATTTTGATATTTAAATTGCCCTAGATTTGTCCATTGGAAGCTCCCTGCAGATATATCCTCTGTCCTTCTGATATATTGCCATCTTTTCAAGCCTTTCTAATTTTCTAGCAAAACAAGATTTTCCAGGCTTATCTAATACTTTCTGTGTCCTAGACCTGGAATTTTTTCTCCACAGACTTCTGATTCCTTTTAAAGTGAAGAATGGTTTTTAGACACCAAAATCTGGGTACTAACTGTACTCATTGCTACTGGAATGTCATAGCTTCTAGTACTTCTCAGTGACAGAGCTGAAGTAGATACAGAGATATATCCAACAAAATATGTGTAAGACAAATATACTAAAAACTACATTACTGGGAGACATTTTAAAAGACTAGAATAAATGGATAAATCCACTATGTTCATGGATTATAAGACTCATTATTATTAAGTTGTCAATTATGAAAATGTCTTAGCATCTTACAAGGCTGCAAGTCTATATATTGGCTGGGATTGTGGTCACATCTGGGGCTCGAATGGGGAAATATCGACTTCTGCACTCACACAGGTTGTTAGCAGAATTTAGTTCCTTGTATTTGTAAGACTGAGGGATCCATTCTCTTGCTGACAGGAACTCCTTGTAGGCTGTCAGCTGGAAGGTACCCACAGCTCTTAGAAACTGCCTGCATTTCTTCATCATGTGGGATTTCTCCCCGTGATACAACTCACACCCACACACAACCCCACATGTTTAATTTTTAACCTCCAATTCCATTTCAACACCACAATGTACCTTCTAGTCTTCCCCCTTCAATAGTGAGGAAACTGGATCATAAGTGCAAATATATTATAAGTGCAAATATATTAATTTTCTCAAGCCTGGAATACACTGGAAGGTTGCAAAGGGGACAGAATATACTGTATGGGATTTGAATGAAAAAAAAGCAGGTCAGTCACTGATATGAGGAATTCTTAATCGCAGGACACAAAGTGAGGGTTGCTGGAGTGGGGGGTGGGGTGGGAGGGATGGGGTGACTGGGTAATAGACACTGGGGAGGGTATGTGATCTGGTAAGCGCTGTGAATTGTGCAAGACTGTTGAATCTCAGATCTGTACCTCTGAAACAAATAATGCAATATATGTTAAGGAAAAAAAAAAAAAAAGGAAGAAGAAGAAGGTAGCAGGAGGGGAAGAATGAAGGGGGGGAAATCGGAGGGGTAGACGAACCACGAGAGACGATGGACTCTGAAAAACAAACTGAGGGTTCTAGAGGGGAGAGGGGTGGGAGGATGGGTTAGCCTGGTGATGGGTATTGAGGAGGGCACATTCTGCATGGAGCACTGGGTGTTATGCACAAACGATGAATCATGGAACACTACATCTAAAACTAATGATGTAATGTATGGGGATTAACATAAGAATAAAAAAATTAAAAAAAAAAAGCAGGTCAGGAAAGATTTCATGACTCCTGTAATTCACATTCCTTTTTTTGAGAATTTGATCATCATTGATTTATTTTTTTCTAGTTGTATGATCAAAACCTCAAGAGTAGAGGTAGGTAGAAGTCAAATCATGCAGAACTTTGTAAGCCACATTAGAGAGTTTGGGTTTTATTCTACTACGACGGGAATTGGAGGCCTTTCTGTTAGGCCTCCATTGTGCATTTGTTTGTTGTAAATAGCATGAACAGCATTTTTAAAGTTATTTCCTGATAATGTTTATTATTTACTCAATCTTCAACTCATTCTAAAACAAGATTGGAGATGCTTAGGGCAATCCATACCAGTAAGTTAAAACATTAAAAAATCTATCAGATAGGGATAAAAAATAAAATGGAGCTGGGAAACAAGAGGTCAGGGTGAGGTCACCTTTAAGAACTTTAAAGTTACAGAGATTTGTTACAAATTTTATCTGAGATCTCTGGAGACTAGAACAGTTTGAAATAACTCATCCCCCAAACCACTGTGATATGCTCACTTCAAGTAACCAGCCTTCACAAGAACCCCCAATCTGCCATGTATACCACACAGAATTCAGACTCGCCAATGGCAGAATCCACGGATTGTTTTTCTTGCAGTAACTTTTCAGAAAACTCTCTGGTTTCTGATAATTTAACCCTTTCAGGTTAAGAGAAAAATGGACAGTTAGATAGTGCTTGTTTATTTAATCAAGGCAGCCAGCTGAAGCAAACAATTCAAGCCAAAAATTCACTTCATTTTTTGTAGGAAAGTATAGTTTTAAATTATAACTGACCCTCTGTTAGGAGAAAGGCATGGATTTCCACAGGGAAAAACTGAGCACTGAGGACAAAGTCTCGAGTTCACGAGCACTGTAATCACACATCAGGATCACAGAACTCGCATTTTAAAATCCGATATAATTTATTGCACATTATTTCACATTCTACTGCTTTGCTTACTTTTTGTTGGTTTGTGGTTACTTGCATACATCAGTAAAGTTTCAGAAAAACTATAATTGTAGAAGGACAATTATTTAATGCAGGAAGGATAAACCATTGCATTGGCGGATTGGAAGACATTTTTTAAAGTTCTTATATTATCAATTTAATTATGCATTTCTATGTAGTAATACTCATTCTATGAGTAATGTCTAACATTCTTGCCAAGAATAGTTTGAAAGGACTTTGTTAAAAGTATGTCAGCTAAATCACTATGGGTATATCACTGCTAATGGTGTCGTTCACACGTTGTGAAACATACAACTCCATATTTCATTCTGCCCCCAAATTAGGTCATTGCAAAATACCGTTATTAAAACTGCAAATTGCGGGACAAGGAGATGGAGATGAGAACAAAGCAAAAGGAAGACACCAATTCCTTTTTGGAAAGCATGATTGGGATAGGACAAAATAGAGTAGGAAAGCTGAGCCCTTTGAAACGGATACTTTTTTGTGGGGTGTGTGTTAATTCCATTTAAATATAAATGACTAATAAAACTTGGGCTAACCAGTCTGCTCTGTACTATCCCCGGGTAGCGTCTATGCTCTCTAACCTAATTGTACAGAGGTTCCCTTGTCTTCTGACTTCATACACAAACCATGATGATTACTTCAGTTTTACCTTTTCCTTTTCCCAGAAAATCTTGTTGCAGTCATAAAAAGGGAATGTTTGATGCAAAGACGCCTACTTTATAATTATTTGTGGTTATTAACAACATAGTAATTACGGAAATGCCTTTGTTGGAAGTTACCCACCAGGAGCCGCAAATCCGTGGCACACCCCCCCGGGCTGCCTGGGCTCGGAGGAAGGTCGATCCCTGCACCTTCCAGACCCAAGCCCTGGGGAGGAAAGCGAGGCCGGGCGGTCACTGTTCACTCAGACCTGAGAAAAGTCGCCAGGGTAGCCGCACCTCTTACTTTTGGTGGAAGGTTCCCCTAACTCCAGCTTTCAGGACTTGGGATGGGCGCACACATCGCGACTCTCCCTTTCGTACTGTGGGGCACTCTGCGAACACACCCCCAGTCACCTCTGCGCGCTCCCCCGGAACCCGCTCAGCCCACAGCGCACCCCAGCGGCCGAGCGGCCTCCTTCCAGCGGCGGCCACTTAGCGGCCGGAGAGCTCGCCAGTTGCCTCCGCCGCCGCCTTGGAATCTGGGGACCCGACAGACGGCGAGACCCAGCCTCCGCCCGACCCCGGCGAGGCCGCGCGGCTGCTGCGCCTGCCCCACCCGCCGCACCTGGGAGCGGTGATCACCAGGAGAGGTGGGGCGTGGCGAGCGGCTGGCCGGGCGCCGGAGCAGCTTCGCCAAAAGCCAGCCGGACCGGCGCAAGGCGGAGGGGGAGGGTCTCGGGGCAGAGGCCGGCTCCTCCGAGGGAGAGACCCCAGCTGGGGTGGAAAACGGCACAAACCAGCTGCACAGACGCTGGGCGCGGATCATGGAGCGGGCCAGCCCCGGCTCCGGGGAGTCGAAGCTGCAGCGGGACCAGGATTCCGTGGAAGCGTGGCTGGATGATCACTGGGACTTTACCTGCTCTTACTTTGTTAGGAAAGCCACCAGGTAAGAAGAGGACCCCTGGAAGACCCACCCGGGGCGCTGAGAGTGACCTGGGGGCTCATCTCTCTCCCTTACTGAATTTTCCTCTTCCTTTACCATTAAACGACCTCGGTTCCCAGGCCCTTTGCTTTTGAAGTAGGTCTTTGGTCCTGTTAGGGTGTAGACACCTCGACTTTATGGCTAGTACAGTCGAAAAGCCCAAGCGTGGGATTCGATCCAACTTGCTCAAAAAGTTCAATGCAAAAATGTACATGTGGACCCCCCCCCCACACACACACACACAGCCCGGCTGCCCCGGTATTCCCTGAGAGCAAGATTATTTACATACATCCGCGCTCACGGGCCTTCCCCCAGCCCTTCTTTAGCCTCCTAGTCCCCCTAAATCTCCTCAGCGAAACCAAAACAGTTTTGAGCCCCTTCCCTGCGGCTCCGGAAGCACCATTTCCAACTCGGTCCCAGCAGCTCCGCTCCTCCCCCGTCCCCCCTCGCCCTGGCCCTTGGCGGGCGGGGAAGTCGGGGTAGGGGCGAGACCACGAGGAGCCCAAAGGCAGCAACATGCCGGAGTCTTCCCAGAGTAAGCGCTGTCGCCTTTTGCCCCTTTCCAGTCCCTTGCTTGGCCCGGCGCTTCCTTTCACTCTCTCTTGCTCCCAAGGCGGCGCCGCTGAAAGGGCTCCGCAGAGGGGTTCGCGGCGCGCACACAAAGGGCGCTGGGGAGGCGCGGCGGGAGCCGACAGCGGGGCGCTGACGGGTCCCGCGCAGCCCCAGCCGACCCCAGAGGCCAGCTCTTCCCGGTCGAGAGCCAAGCGCCGGGCGGCCGCTGCCGAGGGCGGGGAGGAGGGTGCCTGTCCTTTGGGAGGTGGCTGCCCGGGGGGCAGTTGGGGCGCGCGTGGGAAAGGCTCCCGTAGAGTTGGGGAGGAATTGAGGTTGAAGCCGAGGAAGGAGGGGCCGGAGCAGAGAGTGGAGGCGGGCGGATGCCCTGAAGCCTGAGGAGTTGGTGAGAAGCCGCTGCGCGGGCAAAGGCTTCTACACGCGGACTCCGACTGACTCCAGGACGCGCCTCTTTGGAGAAGAGTCCCGGACCCGCCGCCGCCGCCGCCGCCGCCTCCAGGCAGCGGCCGTCGGGCAGCCGGCGCTGGCTGCCTTGGCCGCCAGGAAAGCGCACTCAGGGCGGTGATGGTGGAGCGGCCGGCCGAGGCTCGGCGCTGGGCTCCCCCCCGCCGGCGTTCGGCCTCCGCTCTGCCGGGCGCTCCCCGCCAGGGGGCGGCGCAGCGCGGAGCGAGCGGGCTGCGGCGGGCGGCGGCCCGGTGGCGGGGTCGGTAAGGGAGCAGGCTTGGAGTCACCGCCTCCCCTGGGCACGTCGTCGCCCCCCGGCGCCTCCCGGAGTCCAGAGTCTGCGGAGGCCGCGTGGTCTGCACTTCGACCTTCCTATGTTTGCTGTGTTGCCCTTTGGAGACAAAACAAGGTAGTCCCTTCAGCATCCCCCCACTTGCCACTTTACCTTGGGGGCGCGGGGCTGGGTGCTGGCTGGGGGCGCCCAGCGGGGGCGGGGGGGCAGAGGGATGCTTCATTGAAAATGGACTGTCTGATATTTTTGTCTTCCTTTATTCTCTTACGGTGTATTCCTTTGGGATTTTAGAAGGGGCTCTTTTTAAGGCAGTTTCTCCTAAACGAGTTTGTGTCGATTTCATCCCTTTCGGGGGTTTTGGACCGAGGCGATAGCTTAGGGCAAATCTTATCTCTTCTGTTTAATTACTCCGCCCTCCTTTTAAAGTCCTCTTTCCCCGCTTTGGCTGTCTTCCTTCAAAATCTGAATCTGGAGCAACCAGAGGATAAACCCTGAAAAGAAAAGTGGTTTCTTTTCAAAGGACAGTTTCCTGCGAGTTCGGGGTGAGGCACGAAGGCCATCTAGATCTGGAATTATTGATTGTTGTGGGCCCCCAGTTTTCAAAGGTCACCTGCTACTCCGAGGCCATCTGTCCCTAGTTTCCTTTCACCCTTGCACACTTCCACTTTTCTGCCCCCATTGAATGGGGAGCGGGCAGGAGAGCTGGGCTGATTTTTTTCAGTGTGTCAGGCTGTTCTTTGGAGATGTTCTGTAGGCAGATTATTAGTTGAAAGAAAAAAGTGATTTGTCTTACAAATCAACATCAGTGTCCTCTTCTTTTTTTCCTTCTCTCCCTTTAAACACAGAAACTTAGGATAGTTTGGTGATCTTTTTAAGTAGTCATACATAAGAACACTTCACTCAGAGCCTGCCAAATCTTTGAAAGTAACATTTTATTGGAAGTTAAATGGAAGGGGTTACATTTAATTTTCTTTTCACATTACCTTTTCTCCCAAGTAGCACAGGATTACAGTCCTCATTTCTCAAAGTTACACTTTTCTGTGTAAAATTCAGATCATCTGAAACTCTATATAAAGACTTTTTTAGTTACGGTTTTTATATTATAGTTGATGTTGACAATAGGCTGACCACTTTCTATGACATGTATGTGTATATATATTCTTATATATTTCTAAGAGTTTATGTTGAGTAAAACTTGGAAAACGAAAGTGTAAAATATTTAAGAGTAGTACAGGCCCTCATTAAGTATAAAGTGCTGAAAGTTGTCAGTTTAAAGAATACGATCTAAGAGCTTGTGTGTAGTCAGAGGTTCCTGTTTGGGCTTATATTTGGTGGCATTAACTAGAGATTTAAGATTGAGAGATTAGACAGTAGTTGATTATAAAAATTCCAAACTTCTAAACCCAGTGTGATTCATATGGTTGTGGTAAAAACTTATTGCAGACATTTTAACTTTATAGCTAGGATTTTTTTTTTTTTCTTTTAACTAGAAGCTGTTACTCTGCTTTTATCCTGTTTGTTACACTCTGTAAGTGTAAAATGAGTACTGTGTGTGATTCAGGACCCCATGAGACAGTTCTGTAGAAACATTTAACATGTTTTTAAATTTAAAATAAATTTGGATTCACTTAGATTGGCCATCTGTGCCGGTAAACAGGCATGTTGATGGAACTACTTCCATGCATGACATTCATGCATGCTTTTTTATCCTATTCCCAAACTGAATGATCTGTACTCAGTAGTAGTCACTGAACAGAATGAAGGTTTCTGGCATCCCTAAATTCTCATTTAAATACCCGTGAATTTTGGTTGACCTTGAAAGCAGTTCGGCTGCTATATTACATTGTTTCCTATAACTATCTTCAAATACAGAGCTAAGCACCTAGTTCAAAGCTACAAGCTTGGAGCATAGATGCTTTTTAGTAATCACAGCCTGTTTATGTGAATTTGAGTGTCAGTTGAACAATTCAGAACATAATCTATTGGCATAAAAATTAACTGGAGACTAGTAAACTACAACATATGGAAACTCCCACCCTCACCATTCTAGACAACTTTGCAGTTCTACCCGCCTGAGATACTACTGTGTTAATTAAGGGCTCTAATCTTCATGCATTTGCAAATGAAGGCTTCCGGGTGCTAATGCCACTTTAACAGCTGTTGTTATTCTTGACAGCATATTAAAATAATGTTACCTTTCATTAGTTACTAATCATTTCTGCCATTGTGGGTTATGTTTTAGATCATTTAGTATTGTAGGGGTAACGTGATTGACTTCTTATTGCTTTGTTTTGTACTAGGCAAAAGCTTGAGAATATTTGACATATAATGGAAATAGGAGTTACTAATGAGGACCAGTTTGACCGCTTGGATCAAAGTCCAGAAACCGAAGTTTTACACTTCCATGTAACTTTCTATGAGAGACTTTTTACTTGACACTGCAAAACTGTGCTGAATTAGTTGACATTCTGGGTCCTGTGTTTGAGACTTTTTTCTTTTCTCTTTTCTTTCTTTCATATTTTTTTCTTATCTCTAAAAGCTGTAACATTTTTATTGGCAAGATATTTGTATTAAAATCAGATGATGGATATAAAATAAATATTGCCATCCACTTTTTAAAAACACTGTTTCTGTAATTACATAGGAATATCGTTTTCAGTTTTCAAACAAATGATTTGTTAAGCATATTTTATTAAGCTGTCAGTAGTGTTGAAGATAATAAAACCCTGTGGTTATTGACTCAGTGTGACTTTAATATTATTTATAATATTTTTTATGATGGTAATTCTGATGCAGTAATGACCTTTTCTTTTTGTATTGTTTATAAACAGGGTTCATATGTGTATCAGATTCTTTCCTCCTAAAAGAAGCTGTAGGAGCCCTTATAATGATGTTTCTCATTGCCCTTCTATCGCTAGTGTTCTCAGGGTTTCAAATTCAGATCCGTTTTAGAGTCTGCAATGCAAGGTCATGATTCCTAACAATGTGGTAGAATTAATGCAGTGGCAATTATTCATATTTGCATATCTCAAAATAAATCTATTTGCTTAGCTAACAAAAACTTAAGTAGGCATATAGTACAATTCAGTAGCTTTTTTTCAGATCTGTGAAAATGGCTGATATTTTCATAAGATCATGTTTTCAACACCTCAAGGTGTACAATTTTTAGCATTTTGAATATGGTGTGCAACAAAATTTTCTTTTAAAGTAATTCCACGTAAATATTTAAGTATTTAAAATATCTGAAACTGACCCTCCCCCCTCTCATGTGCTCTCTCTCATTCTCTCTCTCTCAAATAAATAAATTCTTTTTTTTTTTTTAAGGTTTTTATCCATTTATTTGACAGAGAGAGACAATGAGAGAGGAAACACAAGCAGGGGGAGTGGGACAGGGAGAAGCAGGCCCCCCGCGGAGCAGGGAGCCCGATGCGGGGCTCGATCCCAAGACCCTGGGACCACGACCTGAGCTGAAGGCAGACGCCCAACGACTGAGCCACCCAGGCGCCCCAATAAATAAAATCTTTAAAAAAAAAACCCAAACCAGGTTTTGGCGTCTTCTTCCCTCAGGCCGGTCTAGTAGACCACAACTACACACGCCCAGCCGGGACCCTGCGGAGCTTGACCACCCAGAACTGGGCGACCACGCCTACCCCCTGCGCCTGCGGACAGGCCAGCTCCGAAAAGCGCCCAGAGGACCTGCAGGCCCCGCCCCACGGGGCGGGGCCTAGAGGCTCATCGCGCCTGCGCCGAGGCCCGAGGGCGTGCTGCGCCGTTACTTTTGAAACGAGTGGCGGGGAACTGCTGTGGGCGTCTCCGCCGTCGCTCTCTGCCGGGGGGAAGCGCACTCCTTCGTCTGTAGGACTGGCCATGGCGCTGCAGCTCTCCCGGGAGCAAGGCATCACCCTGCGCGGGAGCGCCGAAACCGTGGCCGAGTTCTTCTGTAAGTCCTCCTCGCGCAGGCCGGAGGGCGGGGTGAACTGAGGCCAGGCCGCCCGGTAGGCCCGTGGCTCAGCCACGGAGGCGGGGGAAGCGGTAGGGGGCGGAGGGGAGGCCGCGAGGCCGCGAGGCCGAGAATTAAGCTCTCTCTGCCCCAGCCTCCTGCCCGGCGGGAGAATCTAGGAAGAAGCGGATGCAGACGCCGCCTCCGGGCTCCTTGCTAATGGTGGAGCTTGAGGCCTAGGTGCTGCTGAGGCCTGCGGCGCGATGTAGCCCCTCCACCTGCAGCGTTGCTTTCAACTACAGAGCCAGGCCCTTTCCGCCCGCCCCCAGCCTCCGCGACTTAAGAGGGCGTAGGGCCGGGGTGGGGGCCACGTATATTTTTAACAACCCCTCGGCCCCTCTTTGATTCTGGTATTGGCGGTGATGGACTAGATTTAGGAAACGCCATTCCGGACCAGGACAGTTGTGCCTTCTGATAGAATCTGGCAGGACTTGTGAGGAGAAAAGGAGGAAAAAGAGGGAAAGGTTTGCTGAGAGCATTGCAGAGAACAGTTAATCAGTTGCTAACTGAGATGCAAAAGCCTATTTTGACACCCTCTAACCACATAATCTGAATTGGGACTTGGATTACAGTGAGTTGTAGTACTACTTTGACAGTAGATTAATGCCGTTTGGCGCTTTTCTCTTTTTTTGCCACAGAAATGCAGGTATCGTGTTCTCTCTTAATTAGAAGCAAGGTTTTAAGAATGTTTAATGCCACTTTTTACCTACTCTGCTTTCAGCAAAACACCCACAAACACGTTAAGGCATTTATGGTTTTATACCATTAATGAAACGTAGCCACATCTAAATATGTTTTATTTTCCAGAGTTACAAAGTGATAATGACTTTTCTTTAACATTCCTTTTGTTTCCAGCATTTGGCATCAACAGCATTTTATATCAGCGTGGCATATATCCATCTGAAACCTTTAATAGAGTGCAGAAATATGGACTCACCTTGCTTGTAACAACGGATCCTGAGCTCATAAAATACCTAAATAATGTGGTGGAACCGCCGAAAGGTATTTAATTGTTGCAAACCATTTTGAGTTTTGCAGGCCTTGTAGAAACCCATATTTTCTGGCATCTTGGTGGTCATTTTTCAGCTCTGTACAAAAAGGTATAAAACACTACAGCCTCAAATATAGTGATTCTTAATTGGAAGGAAGCAAATAATATATAAATTGAAAGAAAGTCCACCCTTCCCATACTGCAGTTTGAGTGGGTTGAATATTTTGATATTAGGAATCTGATATGGCTTCACAAAACTGTCTCCATCAACTTCCTTAGAAATGATTTTTGCAGTTCATGTAGCCAGATGGAACAAGTTGGAATTTTCTGTCCTTATGATGGTGTTCACTATCGGAGAAAAATCCACTGTATATTTTTAACATATATTTTCTGTAACTGCCTAGAGTTTAAAGCCATCATTACTTAAAGGAAAATAAAATTGGATCCAACCTGGAAACTAAACTTAAAGAAAAGAACTACTAAGTAATAGAGCACCCAGTAGAGTTTTATTTTTTATATATTTCCATTTGTCTTTTTTAAAATCCTGCCTTTAATCAGTAAGCCTTTTCTATCTGAACACTCACTGTTTTTCTTTAGCTCAAGAAATTACTGTATTGAATCAATACTTGTTCTCCATCTATTCCTTTTTCCCCTCATATTTTTCTCTACTTAGGATTCTCACTTCTAATTTTTCTGTTGTAGGATGTTTCTCCCTAGCTCCCCATTTGATCTTCCAAAACTAGTTCCAAAAAACACTAGTCATCATTTTTTCTTAATTCATGAGTCATATATATTTCTTTGTATCAAGTAGCTTTATTTTTAAAATTAGATTAATTGGGTTTTTTTTTTTGGATTATCTTCAGGGCTAAAAAGTAAGATTATTAGTAAGCAACTAATAATCTATATCATCTTAATTTGATGGAGAAGCAAGCCCCACCTAAGCTACTGGTTTTTGGGTTGTCTCCTTTAAGACTACACTGAGGATATTTCTTCACCTCGGATGTATGCAGACCTTCCTCTTTAATTTCTCCCTTTTATTTTAGTTAAAATGGAGGAATTGCTCTTCTTAGAGGCAAATTGTTCAATCTGAATCCCCATTCTTCTAGCCTTAAGGATTTTATCCTAGTTCTTCTCTGGTATTTTTGATTTCTTTGTTTTGATCTCTCTTCAGTTTTAAAAGAAAAAAATTTCCACCCACCCCAAATCCTTAAGTTACTACCCAATTTCTTCCTTTTCAGAGCTAAATTGAGAAAAAGTTGATATATGTCAAGAAAAAGTTGATACATACGACAGCCCGTGTCTAGCAAGTGGCTATTTTTGTACTGCCTGCAAACTAAGAATGTTTTCAGATTTTTTTTTTTTTAAGATTTTATTTATTTGAGAGAGAGAATGAGATAGAGCATGAGAGGGGGGAGGGTCAGAGGGAGAAGCAGACTCCCTGCTGAGCAGGGAGCCCGATGCGGGACTCGATCCCGGGACTCCAGGATCATGACCTGAGCCGAAGGCACTCGCTTAACCAACTGAGCCACCCAGGCGCCCTGTTTTCAGATTTTTAAAGGGCTGTTTTTTAAAGACTATGCAACAGAGACCTAGGTGGCCCACAAACCCTAAATATTACAAAATTGTTTTGTCTCTTAAAAAAAGAAAAAAAAACACTACAGATTCCTGAGTATACTATCCCAATTTCCAAGATTAATTCAGGGCTTGTCCTGAGGCCCTCTTCTCACTATAATCTCTCTCTAGGATGATCTCTGACATGTACATAGCTTCACTAACAACCTTGGTGTAGTTGACTCACAAATGTACATCCAACCCAATTCTCCTAATTGTGCTCATATATTTCGTGGCTCCGTTGATATCTTCATCTGGCTATCCCAGTGATACCTGAAAACTAAACTTAAGGCGCTCCTGGCTGGCTCAGTCAATGGAGCATGCAACTCTTGATCTCGAGATATTAAGTTCCAGCCTCATGTTGGGTGTGGAGATTACTTAAAAATAAAATCTTAAAACTTAAGCATCATCTCCCATTTGCATTCTTTTTCTCAGTGAATGGATCAGCCATCCAACTAGCGATATAAACTAGGAAGTTGGGAGCTATCTCAGTCTTTCTTCTTGCTTACTCATAAGTAGTCAATAAATCCTAACAGTTTTAACCATGAAGTCTCTTGAATCTATCTACTGATCCATCTCTACCAGCTTATCCTTCTCTAAGCCTTCATTACCTCTTGCTTGAATTGCTAATTAATTGGTGTCTCTAGATCCCCTCTTTACCTCTACTCTGCTTTCCACATCACAGCCAGAAGGATAGTTCTGAAATACAAATTTAATTACATCACACCATACTTCAAATACAGTAATGACTTCCCTGGTTCTTGAAGTGTAACTTCTTTAATTTGGCCCATATGGCCTTGCATGGTCTGACCCCTGTGTATCCTACACAAACTGACCTTGTTCATTCTCCCCTTTCTTTACTGCAGTTGTATTACCCTTCTTTCAATCCTCTGGTCAGATGCTCTTCCCTTTTCAATATTTAAGACCTGTACTCTTTTCTGTATCATTTTGCATATTTAATGATAATTTATTTGTAGAACTGAAGTTAAGTGAGAACTCCCTGAGTGAGTCCAATTTTCCTCTCTTATGCTCTCATTGCGTCACATACTGCACCTTCATAGCGTTTACCACAATTAGAATCTTATATTTATCGGTGCAGTGATTAGATTAATGGCCATCTCCTGCATCTTACTTGGATTAGGGTGTACTTCCTGTTTTCTACTCTGTCTTCAGCACTCAGTACTATATCTGGTACAAATACTGAGAATTTGAAAACAGGAGCTAGGTTATTGTGGGGCAGGTTTTCTGTACAGGTTGGCAGAGTTCCAAAATACTAGCGGTAGGAATTTGCTGAGGATAGAAAGTGAGACCTGGGAAGAGAGTTGTTTTGTAATGCAGTGAAACAAAAAAGATTCCTTGTTATGTATTGAGATTGGTTATACAAGTGTTCAGTTCAGAAACTGGTGGTTGTCATCTCAAATATTGAAAGTGGTGAGGTACTTGAAAGGTGGCAATTTGATATTGAGTGTGACAAGACTGCCAAAGATGACAGGTAAGTATGAAGTAAATTGCTTCCATTTTTACAGATCTTTTTCCAAAACTGTTTTCTTTTACTAGATGAGTTCTACTTATATTGAACTAGTTTCATATAAAGTAGTTTGTTTCTAAGTATGTTAGATGTGACCTTTAATCTCCTGTGGAGAAGGATTGGGCTCACAAATTGTGCTCACGAAAGAATTTTGCCTATCACGGACTTTTAACATAATTGCGCTTAGGCTAAATCCATAAATTTCAAACTTTAGTGTTTATGATGCTATATGTAAAGCTACCATGCTGTCCGTCCTAGGTGGGCCATTTCATGAATTGTAGAAAGGTACTTTTAACCATGAAGTATTATCCTAGACTTTCTCCCAGCTTACTGTGCAGCTCTACTGTATTTCATTTAATGCTACAAACTTCTTAGACACTCCCCCCCTTTTTTTTTTTTTTTAGGATTTTATTTATTTATTTAATAGAGCATGCGAGAGAGGGAACATAAACGGGGAGTGGGAGAGGGAGAAGCAGGCTTCCCGCCAAGCAGGGAGCCCGATGTGGGGCTCAATCCCAGGACCCGGGAATCATGATCTGAGCCAAAGGCAGTCGCTTAACTACCTGAGCCACCCAGGCGCCCCTCTTTAGACACTTATTAAACTGAAGTTTTTAGATTATCTGGATGGGAGATGCCCATCATTATATGCTAATTTCTAGCATCGTCCTAGGCATGCTTACCTGTAAACTCTGAACTATCTCTCATAATGAAATGATGGAGTTTGCTCCTGAAGCCTTTGGTCTGTTTTAGAAAATGTTTAATTATTAACGCCATACACGATTAACATCTTATTTGAGGCAATAGGAAATTAGACATTTAGGCATTACTAAAAATGCCAAAATGATTATACCGATTCAATATTTTAGATACTGCTTGTTATCTTTATTTTAAGACATGCTGAAGCTTTCCTGACTTGAAGTACTTGGCAGGTTTTCTAGTCATCTGTTATTTAATGACCTGATACTAAGAACAACCCTAAAAAATGATTGGAAGGATAAATGAAATAATAGAGATACATATTGGGCCTACTAAGTTT